TTGTTTGACCAAATGGAGAAAACTCAGTTCAAGTCAGTGAATGGAGGATTGGTGATTTCTTTCATTAACGTGATCTTTTCCCTTTAGGACTTTGCTGCCACTGGTTTTTAAATCTTCTCTGGATTTTGTTTGCCTTTTATTTCTTAGTCTGCTTTTCTGCAGTGGAGGCAAATATTTTCCTCCCTAATGATCGTATTCTTCTCGCATGAAATTTATTCTCGGTAGGCAGCTAATAAAAATCCATTCAGCATTTCTCTTTGTTACCATTAATTAATTTATTTTGGATTGTTTGGTTGATGTTATTTTAAAATCCCTTGGCACTTACCACCCCATATGTGTTCTATTAAACAGATATTTAAAATCTCTTATTAAGAAGTGTTCATAAATAGAGGATGTACATGTCTCTCCTAAATATCAGTTGTTATATATATTCTGATTATCCCATTATGTTTGCTTTCACCTCTCTCAGTAGGGAATTAGAAACTAAAATGTGTTTGGGCTGAAAAGGACTGGTGCTCTGTGGAGTGATTAGAAAGTTCAGTGGTTTGGATGTCTAGGGTGGGAAGGTGGGAAGCAGAACTGATGTTCAGCCAGGACACACTGGTCCCAGTCTTAAAGTCCTGAAATCCTCCATTCTTGTTATAACAAACAGGCACTGCCCCAAGACCCACATTGCCTGGCACCTTGTTTCCCCGGGACTTCCCCACAACCCAGCGGCTAAAGGGTTAAGCCTGGCACACCTGGGGTCCCTGTTTAGGGGTGCATGTGCGGTATTGGCTGTTCAATATTATGAACATCATTAACCCTTATGAAAGGGATTACTACTTGGTTGGCATTCCTAAGAGAATCCCGGAAAACTGCTTATAATAAATAATAGGGGTTAACCTCTATTGAGAACTGTTCTAAAGGCTTTATACCTATTAACTTGTTCGACACCCTCAACAACCCTATGCTGTAGCTATTATTATTGCCCCATTTTGCAGATGAGGAACTGAGGCCCAGGTCATACAATGAATACGTGGTGCAGTTTGGAATTTGAATTCAGGCTGACCCCAGAACCAGTGCTCTTTTCTAAGTCTCCTCTTGGATCTGACCTTCCATGATTCTCTGAGCAATACACATTTATTTGCCCATTGACCGTGGGCAAAATAAAGAAAAATAAGACATAATCCAGTCTTTTGCATAGTTTATCATCTAGTGAATTTGGTCAAGCTCCTCTTCTCCTGTTCTGGACAACACAAGTCCCACACAAATTCCTTTCCATGTCAGAGAAACTATTTAATGAACAAACTCCAGAGGAAATAGTTTTTACATAAGACTCTTGTTTAATGGTGTTCATTGCAGATTAGAAAGGTGATATTTTCATATGTTGCTTTCTAGGAGATGGGAAATAGTTTTTTTTTTTTTTTTTTTTTGGCTGTGTTGGGTCTTCGTTGCTGCACGCGGGCTTTCCCTAGTTGCGGCGAGCGAGGGCTGCTCTTCATTGCGGTGCACGGGCTTCTCATTGCAGTGGCTTCTCTTGTTGTGGAGCACGGGCTCTAGGCGCACGGGCTTCAGTAGTTGTGGTGCATGGGCTTAGTTGCTCCGCAGCATGTGGGATCTTCCCGGACCAGGACTTGAACCCATGTCCCCTGCATTGGCAGGTGGATTCTTAACCACTGCGCCACCAGGGAAGTCCCAAATAGGAAATAGTTTTTTAATATAGAAATTTTTGCTTTTCACATTGAGATGGAAGTTATGGTAATTTTTTCACCAATATGAATTCAGAATAATTCAAATCCAAATGAATCTGAATATAAAACATTTTCACCCGTACAGTCATTGCAACACTCATAGTTTCAGGATGAGATACACATGTCTGTTTTCAGAAAGGAGTCATACGGCATTTGTATAACAAAATAAAGCATATTTCAGGTAAATATTATTGGATCCTCTAATAAATTTTCCTTGGTATAAATGCATAGGATTTAATAACAAGATAACATCCCCCCAAAGCAAATTCTATTTTATGCTAAATTCAGTTAAGTTGGCTGGAGAATGATTAGTGAAATATGTTATAAAAGGCATTCATACAAGGAAAGAATGCATGAAGCAGTCTCTAAACACATTTAACTGTGAGGGGCTAACTGCTTTGTATAATTTGAATGCATTTAATTTTGGAATTTTGAAAAACAAAAGTTGTCATTTCATTTTATCTACATTTATTTTTTGCAGGTGTAGCAAATTATAGCAGAGCTCCAAGGGAGCCCTTATTGTTATAGAAACGGATCTGTTATGTAGCTATAATGCTCCATTGTTGAAATTAGTTATTTTAAAACATTCAATTTGTTAAATCTTTAATAATGGATCACATTCTAAGTCAAGCTGATGGTGGTCATATGAAAACTAAATTAGTTTTCAGCTGCAGCAATTTTAAAGAATGAGTATTTGCAGAGTAGTTACTAAACTAAAAACTTAAAATAAGTTATTAAAAATGTTAATCACCAAAACAATGTTAATCACAGAGAGGTGGCCACTTCCAGTGTCAAATGCAATATAATCACGTTCAGAGCAGTTAATAATACCTCAAATAGTTAAGGTTCAGAGCGTGCTGAAAAGTGAAGGACTAGTTTTCCTCAGTCTATCATCTGAAAAAGGCATTTTCCTGGAAAGATTTAGAATACAGCTTTCATCAAGGTTGTGACAGTTCATGTTTTACTCCTGAAGACATGGTGAATGAATAAAACATAAGAAAATCTGAATGACAAGCTTGTCTTTAAGAAATTTTACCGACAACAACACAAATCCTGGACCTCATCTTTCAAATGTCGTTTCCTCGGTGAAGTCATCTGTGAACACTGCGAAGAAAGACCCCTCTCGCTCCTTGCAAGGTGTCTTTACCACCCCGTGCTTCATCACAGTATCATAACTTTTTTTGGCCTGTTCTTCTCAAGAATGAGCCAGGGTGAGGCTACCCCTCCTGCTGCAGACCAGGAGACAGGGATGCTGCTTCAAGACCTCAGCCCCGCCTGACAGCGCAGGGCCTGAGCACAAGGGAAGGCTCTTGGCAAACCTGACAATGAAAGAATGAGGTGTATTTGTCCATGGATTCCCCAACCAAGAGGCCCAGGATTCTCAAGGACTTGGAGTGGTATTATATGGACAGAAGTTCAGGTGGCCTGAAGAGAGGTTAATTAATTAGACACTACTTTTAAGTTCCTGCTGATTAGAAAGAGGTGTCAAGAAGAAGTAAAGTGCAATTTGTAACACATTTTGATCGTCCTTCCTCATGACCCTACCTGAGCTAAAATGTGGAGGCAGAGGGAGAAGAAAGACCGGCACCTGGATTGCAGAAGACAACTTGCAGATGGACTTGGGTCTCAGCGGAGGCATGAAGGGGAAGCAAGGGAGCAGCTCCAGGCTCAGGCCCCAGGGCTGGCACAGGACTGGGCACCAGAGGTGGGACAGGCTGACAAGAGCACCCAGCCCAGAGTGTTGAGGAGTTGGATCCCTACCACCCGGGCCCTGCCACTGTCCTGTGAGGTGGGCACAGCGCTAATTAGCAACGGTGACCGCCACTTTAGAGATGGGGAAAATGAAGGGTCACACAGGGCATCTTGACTAAGGGTCACCTGCTGGTAGTTGGCTGACCCAGCAGGAATAAACTGTCAGATCACGCGATCTCACTACCCAGGGCGGCCTCGCCCTTCTCCCGGCCTGACTCCACCGACCACAAAGTGACATTTCATCCTAGAGCTTCGCCCATCGGTCCCCCGCTGCCGCCTCGCTGCCCTCCCAGAAGAGCCGGAGCGCGGGAAGGGAAGGGGAGGAGAGGGGAGGGGACGGGAGGGGAGGGGACGGGAGGGGAGGAAGGTTGCAAGTGCGAAAACCTGACACCTGGGATAGGCCGGCGAGCACCAAGGACAGTGGCGGTGGCGAGAGGGGCGCTCGGAAACCTTGCTAAAGAAACGCCCTGTTTTGCCTGAGCCAGATTTCTCTGCCCTTCCTGTGCCTCCACCAGGGTGGGCACAGCCCACACGCGGTTAAATAGCCTTGACAGCATCGCCCCGCAATTCGTTGGGCACTGGAGTTTTCCAAGGCCGAGATACCCCGGTGACCAGGACAGTCAGCCCCGCGCCAGGAAGCCCCGAGGGCCCTCACCGTGTCTTCGCGACTCTGCACTCGGGACTTGCAAAGCCTCGGGTGCGCCTGAACCCGAGGGGGCGTTAGGCGGCCTCCCCTTTTCTCTTGTCCCCATCCCCATGGATACTACTGGCTTCTTGGATCCCTTTCTCGTTCCCCATTTTCCAGACCCTGATTCAAAACAAAGAACTCTCACAATAGGATGGGTAGGCTTCCAGCGGGGGCGAGCAAGGGGCTCGGACATTCAGTCATTTCGACAAATAATGTTTGAGTTCGTGCCCTGATCGAGGCGCAGGGCAGTCAGAGGGGAATAGGACACTGATCACAGCCTCGTGGGGAGAGAGACGCACGAATAAAGGTGACAGGATGCTGCTGCTGCTGGGACAGGTATGAACTGTTGGGGTCAGAACTCGGTACTTAGCGGTCAAGGACGTCATTAATAAAAGTCCTCAAGGCAAAACTGCCACTCGCCCCTGGGCTTTGGCCTCGGAGGCAAAGCCTTCTCGAGACTGCCGCCTGGGCTGGGAACCGCACCCTATAGTCACAGGCGGCCGGACCCAGCCCCCCATCCCCAGGCACGCTCTTCAGGGGAACTTCCCTAGCAAGGGAGCTGAAGGCTCGAGGTCCCGGAAACCGTGGCGCGCTCTGGACTTCCCGATCCCGCGTCTGCCCGCGTCACCCCTCTCGCCCCCACCCCGAGGGCCACCCGGCTTGGCGTGGACTCAGCCGGGGTCCCGCCCGCCGCCGGCTGGCTGGGGCCGCAGCCGCCTTGCGCTTCCGCCCGGCCCCTCCCACCGCCTGTTTCGCCCCTCCTCTCTCCGGGTCGCGCGTCCTCCGGCGCAGGTTCAATCCCCGCCGGGACCTGGAGCGCCGCGGCCCGTTTGCGCCCTTGCTCCCCGCGCCCTGGCAGCGAGACCCGGCCCCGGGTGTCTGCGCGCCGCCGGAACCTCTCCGGGGCGGCCGCGGCGGGCTGACTGGGCGTGCTCGGGAGCTGGGAGGCCGGGCGCCGCGGGAGCCGAGCGCATGCCTTCGCGGGGCGGGACGCCCGCCGTCCAGGGGCGCCACGCGCAGGCGGCCGCTGTCGCCGACGCCCTGGCCAGCCTGGGCAGGACGCGGGCCAGAATGGCCTCCCTCACGGCATACGGTAACGGCGGGCGGTCGTGGGCTCTCGGGGCTCCTGGGGCGGGCAGACCCGGGAGCCGTCTGATCACCCTGGGAAACTTCGGGGCTCGGCTCCCGGGAGGGTCTGGAAGGGAGGGAGCCCGGCTGCAGCGCGCGCTGGCCTGCGGCTGGGGGACCGATGCCCTGTGCAATTGGAGGATGCCCGGAACCTGGGAAGGGGGGGTTTGTAGAAAGAGTCGGTGGAGTAAAATCGCCTAAAATTTAGGTGTTTTCGAGCTTCGGCACTCCAGTAAAATTCCGTTCGCTTCAGACCACCGAGGGGAAGGTATACGTGTGTTGAGTCCTTTCCTAGCGGTGTGAGGCTTGGAGTTAGAACTGCGTTCAGTCCTTGCTTATCTTGTCCCTGACTGACCTTGGGCAAGTTATTTAAACTTTTCTGTTCTTGCATATCTCCATCTGTAAATCAGAGATGAGAACATCTCTCTGACAGATGCTATGGGGTTAAATTATATGCACCAAAATATGTTTTTAATACAAAAATAATCAGCTTGGAAATAAAAGTTGCATGGAAATAGAAGACATTCCTTTCCCCCTTTTTTGTTAAAGAAATATATTTTTAAATCATTATTTTTAAGGCATTGTACAGTTCTGAAGGAAAATGAAATCACAGTGTGAAGGTTTCATACTCAGCTAGAAATCCCAGACACTTGGGAAGCCAACAAGCCTTTTTTTATCAACATTTCTGCTTGCGTGGAAAAAAGCAATTCTCTTTAGTCCTTTATCAGAGATGCTGCCGAGACTGGGTTATAGGAGGCGGAAACTCAAGTAAGACCTCCCTCCCTTACCCTGGCTTGCAAGCAGTTGCTGTGATAACATCTAGTTTTGGCGTTTTAAACGCGGAGGTACTGAGCAATTGTTGGGGAATGTTCTGCGGGGACATCTCTGAGCCAGGGCTTGGTGGGAGGGAAATTGCTGCCCTTTGGCATGGAGGCTTCATTCTCCAGACCAGTGATGTCCCCTGCTCATTTTCCCAAGGTTAAAGGGGTCAGTCTCTATTTCTTGGGATTTAAACTGTGTAAAATGATCACTCAGGTGGCTCTGAGGGTTTGCAGTTGATGCTTGGGAACCTAACAAATTGTGAGCAGATTACAAATTGCATACTAGTGGCCTATTTTTTTTTTTTTTTTTTAACTCGGGGCATTTTCTGCTGGGATTTGGGTTGTTGTCCCTGCTGCACATTTAATACATAACGTTGTCATTCGTGGGTTACCATTTGGGGCTAATTCAACATCCTGACGGTTTTTTAGTCATATTCATTGGCAGAAACCTATTTTTACACCTTTTTCTATCAGGGGGATCTAACTTCTGGTTTTTACATGATGTTAGGTTTCACATGCCGTCCTGTGGATACCGTCAGTAAGAGGTTTACATACTAATCAGTTCCATAAATTTCTAGAGGCTTTAAAAGCTTAATTGGGCACCCAGGTGGAGAAAATGAAGTCAGAAGAAGTGAATTGTTTTGGAAAAGCAAGTATATTCCAGTAATTAAAGGAAAAAAGGTGGCAGATCATTTTTTTTGGCAACTAAGAATTAACATGGGTTTCTCTTTAGAACCTTAAAGGGAACTGAGACAGATTTAAGTAAATATCTCAATTAGAATTTGTGCTATTTTAAATATATTTTGACACACTCTTCTCCCTCCCCCATCCCTAAAGTGGTGAATACACTTGGCCGCTAAATGCACATTAGTTTCTTGGTCTGTAGCGATGTGACCCAAGACACGACAAGGTAAATGAGTCCATCAGGGTTTTCAACCTGGTGAAAACAAAACCAAGCACATTCAATATATTCCTCATCCACTGGATGCTGAGATTATTTTCTGTTGAGAGTTTGGTCCAGCTCTGGAACCTTCATCTCTCTGAAAATCTAACTGCTTTAAAAAAAAGTCCCGTTTCAATTCTGTTGGATTTGGGTTTAGATATCATGATGGGGGATGATTTAGGTTTCTTGCCTGGGATTTAGAGGGTTCAATTTTTATATTCATTTGACTGATTTAATGAATGCCTCAGTCCTGTCTTTAGCACAGGGGCTGCCAAGAGAATGAACAGTTACAGTGTAGACCGTGTGTTTGAGGTTCCTAAGAAGAGAGAGAAATTTGGCTTATGTATGCATTTCATTAGCAGCAGCCTCCGGTTAAACCTCATTAGCTTCCCATCCAAATATGCATTTTTTGATCCTATGTTGGAACTTGTTTTTTCTGTATTTTGGCATGAACTTTTACTTTCAGGCAACCATCTAGACATGTATCCTCTGGAAATGTGGAATGAGATTAGGATAATCGATAACTGTGATATGTCCTCTAATAAATATATGTTCAATGGATGATGCACTTTTAAAAAATTCTGGATTTTAAATGTCTCAGCCTTTCATACTCACTATTCATCTTTCTTTCCTTGTCCTTTACATGGTTTAGGTTCTTAAACGCTTTTAGCTCATTATGTAACCACGTGCATGAGACCAAGGAGGGTGACAAGAGAGAAGGGACCGGGACTTGATTCATTCTTGGCCGTGCAAAAGAAGGCACAGGGGGCTGTGTCCCAGGCTGCACCAGGAAGGGACTTGTGGTTGGACCTGCCGGCCTGGCATCGAGCTGTCAGCGTGGGGTCTGAGGAGCTTATGGGGCACAGTGGGGGCTCCTTCAGATAAGGAAGTCCTCTCTGAGGAAATATTTGAGGGAAGGGCTAAATGAAGGAAAGGAACAAGCCATGTCATTATGAGGGGAAAGCGCATTCCTGGCAAAGGGAACAGTAAGTACAAAGGCCCTGGGACAGGAATGAGCTTGCCACGTTCAAGGCTAGCTGGAAGGTCAGTGTGGCGAGAGCAGAGAGAGCAAGTGGAAGACGAAGGAGATGCAGTCAGAGCCAGTTTTGTTGTTGTAACTATTGTCCCCTCATTTCCCTCCTGCCTCTTAAAAGGCTTCTTCTTTGAGGACTCCTGCATCTGTTTATGTTGGTGTTTGCCTGGGTTCTGTCCTTGGCTTTATAATCTCACTCTCAAACATTTGGATGACACTGATTAGACATCTACTAAATGAGAGACAATGGCCCTGAGGGCAAAGTCAGTCCCTAAGCAGGAGGCCTGTAAACTGGGGTGACAAAGTTGTAAGCAGAAGTGTGGGCTATGCTGGGACACAAACAGTAACAACAGCACTTTATGCGGATTAGCTCATTTAAATCTCACAACCATCTTTTTTTTTTAAATTTATTTTATTTATTTTTGGCTGCATTGGGTCTTCCTTGCTGTGCGTGGCTTTCTCTAGTTGTGGCGAGTGGGGGCTACTCTTTGTTGTGGTGCGCGGGCTTCTCATTGCGGTGGCTTCTCTTGTTGCAGAGCACGGGCTCTAGGCACGTGGGCTTCAGTAGTTGTGGCACACGGTCTCAGTAGTTGTGGCTTGCGGGCTCTAGAGCACAGGCTCAGTAGTTGTGGCACACGGGCTTAGTTGCTCCACGGCACGTAGGATCTTCCTGGGCCAGGGCCCGAGCCCGTGTCCCCTGCACTGGCAGGCAGATTCTCAACCACTGCGCCACCAGGGAAGCCCCTCGCAACCATCTTTAAGAAACTAGTCCAATGTTAGCCCTGTATTCACTTGAAGAGCTTGAGGCCCAGACAGGTTGAAGAATTTACTTAGTCTCACCTAATGAGTGGGGCGCCTGAAGGCAGGCTGCAGAGTTTGGCTGAAGAGCCTGGGGCTAGGGGCAGTTAGGAAGAGGAGAAAATGTGCTCGTTCATGCAGACGTTCACTTCACCACGTACGGGCAGCTGTGTGGGTAATCCCAGGGAGAAGGCATGGCTTGAGCAAAGGCTAAAGGGCAGTGGATGACCAGAAGTTCAGGACTTCTGACTGGAAGGGGGTATAGGAGGGGGGTGTAATGAGAGCCAAGCCTAACCATGCAACACAGAATGGAGCGAAGCTAAGAGATGAGAGCCTAGGACATAGCTTCCTCACCTGTCATTTTGTCTTTATTCAGGTGAGTCCCGAATAAACAGAAATCACCAACTCAGAACTTCTTTCTTGTATGTGCTGTGCGTGTCTACCCAGCTGTCTGCTAGACGTCTTTACCTGTATACTCCTCTGACATTGCAAACTCATTGTGTCCAAAACGGAATTCCTCTCCCATACCTGTGTCCTATAGAATCACTCCAGCTACTGAGCTCCAGCTACTGGACCATGGAGTACCAGAATAAATGAGATCTCACTCTTTCTCTCAGGATAGCGCAGTCAGCTGGAGGAAATAGGCTCCTAAAGAGATTTATAATGCAGTGCTGCGGGAGAGGGGATGGGGGGAGCGAGGGATAGGTCAGGAAGAGTTACCTGGAGGAGGCGATGTGAAAAGGCCAACTGGGAGAAGAAAGACATTCCAGGGAGGGGCAACAGCACGAACAAAGATGAAGGGGATAGATGGCAGGGGGCATAAGGCAGCTTCCAGCAGCATGGTGTTGGTGGAGCATGACATCCGAGACAGGAGACATTGGCCGGGCCAGCATGCTCTATGCAGTCACCTAGACTAGAATGCTGGGAGTCGTCTTTGAGTCCTCCCTTACCAGAATATACTAACAATGACCTTGGGCAAACCAATTCACCTCCTGTGCCTCAATTTTCTTATGTGTAAAATGGGGTCACTCTGAGGTTTAAATGCAACAGTACTTGTAAGAGCATATGAGAGACACATAGTGAGTACTCGGTAAGCATAGCTATTACTGTCAACTGCCTCTCCCAGCCCGTATACTCTCAACTACCAAGTCCCATTGGTTCTTCTTCCTTAAAGTCTTTCTACTCTGGTTTCTCCTCTCCCTGCCCCCTCCTCTTATGCTGGTGGAGGCCACCGTCACTGCCAATTTTGACTGCGGCAGCAGCCTCCCAGCTGTGTCTCTGCCTCTTTCCCCGCCTCTCTGATCCCAGTTGCAGATCTGATCCTGTTATTCCTCTGCTTAAAACTCTCCAAGGGCTCCCCTCTGCTTACA